GATTAGACGAGGCCGGCGGCGAAGCTGAGCTGCTCGCCCTGCGCGCCCCGCAGCCCGCTGCGCTCCGCGCAGCTCTCGCTCAGCTCGAACTTCTCCTGCGCCTGCTTGCTGATGAGCTCGGCCTGCCGGGGAGAGGGCGACGCTCACACCTTCCGCGCACCGGTCCTTGCCCCTCGCCCGCAGGGCAGCCAAAGCGACACACACCCCTACACATAGGCATTGTATGCATGCAAGCTTTTCTGGGAAAAGGCTGCAGCTGCTGATCTGCTGCAGGCTGCGGCAGATGCTGCTGCTTCCTTCTGCCCCTGCTGCCCCAATCATTTGGAAGTGTTTGAGCAAGGAAATATTCAAACCCCCAAATTCACCTGGGACACAAAAGAACGGAAACATCTCCCACAGGCCTGTGTCTGGAGGCACAAGGCATTTGGAGGTGACACTCCGAGCCCCACGAGGCAGCTCAGGAGACAGGGCCAGCTCGGAGCTGCAGGGAAGCGCTTGTGCTGCCTCTGCCCACGTCCCTCTCTCCAGGCAGCGCCCAAAGCCCCGCAGCAGCCGGGCCCCGTCGCACCTTGCAGATGAGCCGGGGGATGAGCAGCAGCACCAGGACGCAGTCGTGGTCCCCGCCGTGGCGCAGGAAGCTCTCGGGCATGAAGGCCGTGAGCAGCGAGACGTGCCGGTTGGCCTGCTGCACCTCCATCTGCCGCAGCTCCATCTCGATGGCCTGCGGGAGCGGACGCGGCGCGCTCAGAGCAGCCTGCCCTCTCCTCCCCTGCGCACGCAGCCGGGTGTTGGGCCTCGGCCGGACTCTGCTCCTGGGACAGCGCTCGCACCGCGCTGCACGGCCACGCAGGGACAGTGCCACCGCCCCGGCACACACCGGGCTCCCGTCCGGGCCGGGAGGCTGCAGCCCTTGCGTGTGCTGGCCCGTGACCCCACAGAGCTGGTGCCATCCTGCGGGAACTACCCTGCCTGACCAAGGCTCCCTGCACCCCCTCACAGAGCCCGTGCCGGCCCTCTCCCCGTGCTGGCATCTTCCTCCCTGCCGCTGCAGGAGAACTGATCCAGAGCAGGTCTCCTCTGGTCCCTGTGGCAGGCAGGAGGATGGAGACACCTTTACTGGAGGTATCTGGAGACGGCTGCATCCTCGCGACGCGCACCCCAAAGGGAGGATGCCAAGAGCTGGCTGTGAGGCAGGCCGGGGCATCGGGACCCTCCTGGCAGACCTGGCCTTTTCTCTCCTGGGAACAGTGTTAATTGCTGTGGTCTGAACTACCTCCTCCTTGCAAGGACTTTGGGAGACAACAACAGGCCCCAGTGAAGAACAAGAAGACCCGAGACCCAAATATAACTGTTAGTTGGAACCACCACATGGCAGGTGGGGAATTAGGAGCATGAAGGTGTAACGGCCCAGGGATTTCTTTGCTCAAGAGGGTCCCTCTTTGGAGGCACCCAGCTGTAGCTACCACACGTGT